GGCCCAGCTTTAGGAAAATTCGCCATTCAGTCACTAATGATACATGTGCCTTCCTTACTTGTGGATACTATGATTCTTTTTTTTTTTTTTTTTTTTTTTAGACACAGTCTCACTCTGTTGCCCAGGCTAGAGTGCCGTGGCTTCATCCTAGCTCACAGCAACCTCAAACTCCTGGGCTCAAGCAATCCGCCCGCCTCGGCCTCCCAGAGAGCTAGGATTACAGGCGTGAGCCACCACGCCCAGCCGATACTGTGATTCTTAAACATTTAAAATACTCAAGTACTGATAAGTGCCTGCCTTGATTGAAGCTTTTCAGTCTAAGGTTTTCTTCAAAATATGTTCTAAATTAATTAAAAGCTGTGGTTTGCTGCAGGGGATGGGCGGGGGTATCGTGGATAAGGGTGGGAATGCAAACCTCTACAGAAGAGGGGAGTCTCCACATATCTGCCTTCTTACCAGGTCACTTACATTGTCAGTATTTTTTGTATTCTAGTCCTTGAGTTTAATGCTCCTAAGTTTTAGAGGCTAAGAGGGTAAGCTACACAGCTTGCACCATCGCCATTAGCAAGCAGGCCAGCAGGTATGTGCTGCTTGGTTTCTTGTATTAACTTTTAAAATATCACTGATATCTTGGGCCCTTTGCTAGGATTTACGATGAAAAGATGGCAACAAAACTGTAAGGTATTTGTATAAGTGTTTCTCCCTAGTTTGGTCATATACATCTTTTCTCTTCCCGAATTCTCTGACATCTGACAAGATAGCCAAAAAGATACCACAGTTAATAGTCGACTGTAGATTTAGACACATAAACTTCTGAACATTCTCTGTCCCTTCAGCTGCCCCAGTAAGTAGAAGGTAAGGGGAGTCTAGGTCTTTGTCCTTAGTTAATAACAAATTTATGGTAGAAGAGTGATTAGGGGGCTAGGGTTGGGGAATGAGAGGAGGGTATAGTTTGAAAAATCCTTTAATTTACCTGTTTTCACTATACAACTTACAGAAAGCCAAAACCCGGCAAACTCTTGGCTGAAGGTAAGATCTAGAAGGTAGGCCGGGCGCGGTGGCTCACGCCTGTAATCCTAGCACTCTGGGAGGCCGAGGCGGG